TATTTTAAAAAATAATTATAAATAAGTGTGATTTAAAAATTATGCGGAACTTCTGAAGAAAAAATTAATTATATTCATTAAATATGTAGTTCAAAAAACTTGTAAAGTATTTTTAATTGAAAAAAATTAATTATAATAATTACAAAATACAATTTTTAAAAATCATTAAGAATTCGCAAAAAAAAGAAAGTTATAATTATAAAAAAATATGATACAAAACGTAATTGAAAAATCGGAGAATATTTTATTTCCATTTTCTTCAAATGTCACATCACCAATAAACTCCTCCTCATCAGTAAATAAATTCTCCTCACTGCCTAACTCTTCATCACTATCAGGAATTATATGATTTTGGCTCATTTTATCTGCTTCGAAAATCACCTTTTCATTTTTCAGTCATTCCATGTATTCACTATTCGGAGGTTAGATTTCCTTCCTTGTTATTCTCTTTTAATAGGTGATGCGCATGCGCGTCATGCGTTATTTCGGGTTTCAGTTGACTATAGTCAACTGGAAAGTAGTGGGTTTCAAGCGTCTACCCACACTCAACTCTTAGAACAGTGGGTTTCAGTTGAGTGTGTGTAGACGCTTGACTATAGTCAACTGAAACCCATGCAAAAGAATTTAAATTAAGAAAAATAATGAAATAACGTGAAATCGGAAAAGGCATTTAGTATTTAGGAACCGTCTAAAATACGATCGATATTACACGTGAAATTATATGAAGGAATTTAACGAAAATTATAAAAGGAGAATGAGAAAATTCATATAATGATCACATGATCATTACACAGAGAAAATTATTTGGTGAATTTCAACAACTAATTGGTAATTCATTTTTTTCAACAATAATGTTCTCTGTGTAGCTGATAACGCCGGGAGCTGTTTCCAAGGGTGTTATCGCGGGGAGGCTCATGTATCCGGACCACAGCACCTCGGTACATCGACATTGTGTCATGCCCCTCCATTCACAAACATAAAAATTATGTACACATACATGTATCAATCAAGACAATTACAATACGCGGTTTTCAGAGTACATTGATGCACCCCCAAAGTTAGTCGGGATAGTTTACTCAGTTCGGCCAGTTCCGCGTCAGCTCCTCCGCAGTTTTCGTTGCGTCTCCAGTTCCGCGGTACAGATGGAATGATTCAATAATTTGGATTCTGTGAATTTTGTAAAAGTGAAAAGGTCCAATTGATAACAGATTAACGAATTTATGAAAATTTTGGAATTCGTGAAATGCGATAAAGACTAAATTGGTGTTTGAAATGGTTAGAGAATAAAATACGGAACCACGGAATTGGATTACGTCACGAAAATTTACAAAAGAGATGAATAAGTCGAATACATTTTTTATAATATTGGGAAATTTAATTGTTTGAAAATTTGAGCAGTTACAATAATTTGTCTTTTGGGAATAAAGTAGAATCGAAAATTATGTATGAAATGAGAAGATCGATTTGATGTACAGGATTTAAATTTGAAAATTTCTAATTTTATGAATAATAACTTTGAATAAATTTTAAATTGTCAATTATTGATTAATTTCTAAATTTATTTGAACAATTCGCCCGACTCGAATTTCAAGCTATTGCCGGAAGGTAGACTTAAAACAGGACAAATTGTTTAAATTGTTATGATCATGTTAAGATTTATTTAACATAAAATCATGATGTAACAACAATGGAAATGATTGGAAACTATAAAAATTGAGGCAATTATTCTATTGAACTCTCATTCTATTGAAAATTCAATGGAATGTGATGTTGGATTGTCACAAAATTTTAAAATTCGAGCTGTCATTGAAATATGAATGATTTTTCAACACGGAAAATTCATTTGTGCCCAATTTTCAGAATAATTCCATGAATAATTTGATTTGAATTTTAATTTTGCAATATGAAGAGTTCGAATGCAGCTGTTCCTTGAATATCAAAAGATTCCCATCAGTGTATGTCAATGCTTATACTCACATGTACTGTTATCCCAGTTATATTGAATACTTTAATAGGTGGAGTTTCCGATGGTGAGTACCGGTAAAATTCGTGCTTGCCACGATACCACTTGACAGAATAAAGTGGTTCGTTCTCGCGTTCGTAAAGACAACGTAGAGTTACCTCGTGACCACGTTCAACCACCTCCGGTATCACTTCCAGCATCACATTCCGCAGGCAGCGTACACCTTTGAACAAAGGGGAAAAATCTATTGTGAGCCCAGGCTGTACAGACAAAACAAAATACTCAAACAAAGCAGAAGCAGAGAAAGTGGGTAACCAGACTAGCGAAAAAAGAATGGGTTGACCAGAAGGAGTGTAAACAACCAACAGGCGACGATGCATTCTATCTAGTGTGCGTCATTAGGCCTCCCCTTAGGCACAATAAGTGCACGAGGTTGTTCTTGTCACCCGGAAATTGCAATTCTAGCAAATGACTTCACGTGGTATACTGTCGGTAACATCGGTTTTCGGCTTCCCGGATAATCACTCTCTCCCGTGCTCGCATCTTTTCTTGGTCATTTATTCCCCATCCTTCGACCCCTTAAAGTCAAACCTGACTGGCTCTTCTCCTTTGTATACCCACACGTTTCAAACCCAAATCAGAAAAATGATTTATTTGAATCAAATAGGGCCATTGCACCAAGCCCTATTAGCCAAATAAATCATCAGAAAAATTCGATTGGGTTGTTGACATTACGCATCGAACTACACGGAAGAAAAATATAATTGAATTGAGTATAAAATATACTTGACTCAAGTATATAATATACCGAAATCAAATATATAATATACTTTATTCAAGTATGGTTTATACTCAATTGGGGGATGGGTATTTCAATTCGGAGATGATTATTTTGTATCAGGCCGGGTTATAGCAAGCCCTCTTAAGTGTAATATAAGGGTTAGGTACTAAGGGTCAGGGTATTGAGATAAAAATATACAGAGAAAAAAATTGGATTAGCTTTAGAAAAAGGTTTCTAAATTTTAGAAACCGTGGTTTCTAACCTTCAGTTTTCTAAAGTCTAGAAACTTTTTTCTAAGTTTGGGACAAAAATCGTTTAAAATTAATGATCAAAATTGGGATTAATTTTAAACCAAAAAATACTTAATTTCAATAAATAAATTTTTTTAAATCGAGAAAATTTCTTTAATTTTTGAAGGAGATATTGCAAAAAAAGGGGGGGGGGTTGTGGATTGAGAATTCACAACCAAAAAAATTGAATCGATGAGTTATTTAAAAATATCTCCGAAACTAAGAGAGATAGCGAATTTTTACTGAAAATTTGGGGCGGTAGGGTGGAGGGGGCTTTTAGTAGATTGGGTGATTTTAGTAGATTTTAGGAAATCCAATTCTTAAGCTCTATTCTTGGTGGGATCATAAAAACCAACGAATTTGGGGATTGTTTTTAAAAACAAATATTTTCTAAAACCAATGCTGAATTTTTCCTAATTGTAGGAAATTTCCAGATTGAACTAAAAAATTGTGGCCGAGGTATTTAAAGCGCGTAAGTGCCCCATACATGGGGAGGGGTTCCCAAATATCGTGAATTTCAAATGTGAGGAGAAGAAACTTTGCAAAGAAGAGGAAGGAAATTTAGCGAATTTTTTCCTGAAAATTTAGGGTGGTAAGGGGGGTGGGTGTGCATTGAGAATTCACAACGAAAAAAATGGAGTCGGTGAGTTTTTCAAAGATCTCTCTGAAACTAAGGGAAAAATTTTTGGGGGGGGGAGGAGGTTTGTACATCGAGAATTCAATAAAACTTCTCTTCTCCCCCAACCCCCAAATTTTTTAGTAAAAATTCGCTATCTCCCTCAGTTTTGGAGATACTTTTGAAAAACTGACCGACTCAATTTTTTTGGTTGTGAATTCTCAATTCCCAAACCCCCCTTCCCCTTTTAAAACCCCTCCTCAAATATTATAGAAATTTTCTAGATTTTAGAAAATATTTTTTCTAAAATTAATTATATTTCGGTTTAAAACTAATCTCCATTTTGATAATTAATTTTAAACGATTTTTTTTAGAACACTGAAGGTTAGCAACCACGGTTTCTAAAATTTAGAAACTATTTTCTAAAGCTAATCCTCTCTCTCTGTATTTGACCTTAATATTCTGACCCTTATTTTTTAACCTCCACTTTTTGACCCTTATATTCTGACACTCAGTTTCTAACCCTTATATTACACTTAACAGGATTTGCTATAACCCGGACTGATACAAAACAATCATCTCCGAATTGAAATACCCATCCCTCAATTGAATATAAAATATACTGGAATCAAGAATAATATAATTACATCAAGTATATTAAATAGTCGAATCAAGAATCATGTATATAATATACTTGACTCAATTCAAGTATATTCTTTTTCCGTGCAACAACTTCTTGATTCATTACACTGTAAAAAATTTGGTGTTAAATTGACACCGATCGGTGTCCCAATGAGTCCACACCGTCTTTAGTGCGGAGTTGCGGTGTTAAAACGCCGAACGGTGTCCCGAGAAGTCTACACCGGAGTTTTTACTGTGTAGAATTAGATTTTTCTATTTGACTTATTCTATTGAGATATTTTCCGCTGAATTTCCGCCGCCGAAATTTTCCAAGTTTTTTTGTTTGATTTTCTTAATGAAAAAAAAAACAGAAATATAGAATGAAGAAAAAAAATAATGATCTATGATCTTTTTAAATTTTGTAGGATCTCAACAAACAGATAATTAACGCGCAGTAAAGATCAAGTACAATGAACCGGCATTCCTTCCACTCCACAAAAACTTCCAACAGTCTTAAACTTGGAAATAAAGTAGCTAAAATTCTTATTGAGCACATCAGCGTGAACTTTTCAGCCTGCACTTTTCGATTCAGTTAGATGGTGACTCTCACCCAACTTTTGAAACAGCAGTTCAACAAAAAAGTTTTCCGTTCTCGTATCACTCCTTCTCTCCTTCAATTATTGGAAAAACTAAAGTGCATTATTCATTCTGTAACGAGAACGAAATGTCTCTCGAGGACAGATTTCACACTAAAATTTATGCATAGTTCGATAGGTATGCAAGATGGAACAATATATTTTGAGTGCCTCACAAGTCGAGATCTGATAAGTTGAGACCGGATCTGATTGTACACGGAAAAAAAGTTTCTAGTTTCCAGTCGTGAGTAAGGATTCGTTGGAAATAAGGAGAATTTTCACATATTATAGAAAAATTTTCCCTGAAAATCAGTGAAAAATGTTCAAATTCTCTGTAATTTCCACTTAAGGATATTGAAGCTATCAACTTGACAACCCAGTTGAAAAGAAAAATAAAATCCCTAAAAAACAAAATCAAAGGTTTTTGTAGACAAACTGCGCCAAGAAAAAGTTTCGTTTGGTTTTTACTGGAAAGTAAACACTTTTGAAAAATACAAATAAATGAAAAAGAAAGCCAAGTCAGGAATGTGAAATAAATGGTTATAGTACACGATCGGATTTCTATAAGAAAAATAGTTCTCAATAGAAAAAGGAGTTTTTACAAAATTTTCTATACAATAAAAAATCAGTACGTGTAGGACCAACGTCCTTGGCGCGGATCAGCAGGTGGAGATGATTTTTTATCTTATGGAGTTTACGGTATTCATTGAAGAAATTTCGGAAAAAATGTATTCAACAATGAAAAATCTGAAAAAGTATGGGAATGACAAGATTTTAGGGAAAATTGAAATCGTGCTGGACAAAAAATAATTTCAACGGAACTTGGATATCCCTAAATTTGGCATAATTATCTTTAAATTAAGGCACATTTTCTGTAAATAATTAATAGAAGGAATCAATTTATTCCAACGGAATCTTGATTCTGAAATTCAGAAATTTTGGGTTTTTGAAATAATAACCTTGGAGTCAAGAATATCCGGCTTATCAAATTGAAAATATTTTTAATCTTGGATTAATGATTTTTTCTGTGCTAAAATTATTCTATCCATATTTCTAATAACTGCTCATAGTACGTCTGCTGGATCGAAAAGTCAAGTCGTTATAGGATACGAATTGAGGAGTTCAGAAATAAAGAAGGGTGAATCTGTTGAGCGAAAAAATATAGGCAGCCAAGAAGAAGGCATTCCTTTGAGGACTTATCTTAATGGTGCAAGTGATAACATCTCTCACGGGAATGAATGCCAAGAAAAGAGTCACATTTTCACAAAAGACAATGTAAACAATGTCTTGTTCTCGTTTCTTTATATTTTCCTGAATAATTGTATCTTCACTTCGTGAGACATCCATTTGGAAATTGGCCTCCTTTCATTATTTGCATCGTGAAAAATATATCAATGCGAAATTCCAAAGATACGAGTAGAATAGTAGAATAGTTACGGAGTTGGGGGAATATCAGATTCCCTCAACATAGTTTCACAACATTCGCAACTACACTGTCGCAGCGGAAACTCCACCGGTGGTACTCATATATCCAACTCTCATTAATTTCATCAAATTCTTGAAAGGAGAGTTAACTAAAGTTAACTAACGAGTTAACATCAGAATTTTAGTGCTACATTCACATTTTACTAGATCTGTAAATAGTTACAGAGAAAAGTTTCTAGTTCCCAGTAAAAATCTTTGAATTTCGGAGCTTTGTCGTATACTATTAAAAAAAATTTGGCTGAATTTTCCGAAAAAAAAATTTGAATTAGATTTAAAGGAAAAAAGTCAATGGAATTTCAAGTTTCTCTGAAAATTCAAGTAAAGTCCCAATTTTTTAGTGATAGGAAAACAGAAATTCCGCAGTTGACATGAAGTTTCAAGTGAAAATGAATATTTATTGCCAAATTCTCTTGACTTTTCCGGGATATTCTTTAAAATTCTTGGAAGTCCAGGAATTTTGGAAGAATTCCATGAAAATTCAGAGGAATGTGGAATTCAAGGAGAGATTTCTCTGAATTTCCTGAATTTTCATCAATTTTTCAGGAATAATTAAACTGAAATTTGCAGTTCCCACGGATTTTGCGATGAAATTATGAATTTTCAATAACAAAATTCCTTTCCAGCCAATCCATACAATTGCAAGTTTGTGATCGGTGGTAACTCCTACACATTATTTCCTTTGGATATTCGTCAGTGTTGTACTGCTGGCACTTTGGAATCTATTCAGGATGTGTTGCAGAATTGCACCTTTTACAATACTCCTCGTGCGAAATATATTCTTCCCTATTTGTAGGG